AGGCTGACTGTACTGTACCTTCTATCTCTTTCACAACCTTGTCTAAGGAGCCAGTAATTATTCCAGCTACTGGTCTGGCTCAGTCAGGTGCTAAAAACCAGTCACAAAAGTGCAGAATAACTGACCAGACTATCAGTGGAATTAGAGCCAACTGCAGCTAGAGAGTAATGCACTGGCTAATTATGGTGGCAAGTGACTAGAAAAATCCCATTAGGAAACCATTTTGTTCTTCACATCACATCCCTTCTATCAAACAGGAGATCCAACGATCAAAGAAATAAGTGATGTGCAGTAAATGGGGGTAGGATGAGAATACCCCCCCCCCCCCCCCCAGCTACAATTGGTCACTTTGACTTATTGTTATTTATCTGTTGTATATGCGTGTGTGTGTGTGTGTGTGTGTGTGCTGGGGGAGTGGGGGTTGGAGCGCGCCACAGAGTTTTTTACCTAGGCACCCCGAAGTCCCAAGAATCGCCTCTGTATCACACCATGGTTCTTCAAGAACATTACTACATGTCACTATATCCCTTTATATGGATGGTATGACAGTAAAGCCCAGTTGATTTAATGTGACTAAATACTCTATTTTTAGGTAATGCTGATGCATTATTGCAGTGCTAACATCCTTTCTATCTGTCAGCTAGTTTTACCATAATGAGCCTGGTCATGTTGTCGTGTTGCCTTATGCAGCTGATAGACAGCGTTTACTGGAAAATTAGTGCTTTGGACTATCTTGTGTCGGCGAGACACTCGAGGACCTTGGTTGGCTTGGCTATAGTCACTGTCACTAAGGAGTATTTGATAATTACTGTATGGAGACATCCTCCTCTAATCAGTGACAGCCCACGATCAATGTGTGGGGATGAGGGACCGGCACGGGGGAGGTGCCGGCTGTATGGCCCCCAGATGTGCCAGCGTAACACCTGAGTCACGCGGCGTGGGGACTCAGTCACACTGCCATGCTCCTCTCGCGATGTCATGCTGTCTACTGTGACTGGTGATGAAAGTAGACTGTAACCGAGTAGGGGACTGTGTGTGAGTGTGTGTGTGTGTGTGTGTGGGGGGGGGGGGGGGGGGGGGGTAGGGGGGTACGCCAAGGCAAGGTGAGGACCAGAGAGCAGATTAACACATAACCTAGGACCCTGGGAAAATCAGGGGCCCCACCTCGAGGACAATGTGGCAGTGATATGAGTCCCCCAGTAAATAGCTCGGTTGGCCTTTTTGGGAGGGCCTCCTAGCCTTTTCAGCTTTCTGCCCTTTCATTGATGATGCCAAACTAGGTTCGGGTTTTTGCCCTCTATCCCAGACCTTTTTTTTCCTGTAGCCTCAGTGTAGTAGAAAACCAGGGCTGCAGCACTGACTCCTCTAATAATAATACTGAATTAGTCCCTGTGCCTTGCTAATCCGGTTCGCTGTCAACATCGGAAGCACCAACAGTATCTTAAGCTTAGTAAGACGCCGTTCAGAATAAAGTCAGCTGCTGAAACACATAATTCCATTCCATTCAGTTAGATTCATTATAAATAGGTGCCTTGTAGCCGAATGCTAGTTGTTTTGTTAATTCCAGGAATCACAAGAAGAACTGTATCCTATAAGTGGGGAATTCAATTACACACATGGTACACAAGCATAGGCCATAAGTTATAATGCTTTCCATTTGTCTAAAAACAACCAAAACCCTCAAAGTTAAGAGTTGACTATTTTTTTGTCTGTACCCATCCACACTCATTAAAAACCATTTGCCACGGCGACCAGGGTGCCCAAATGATGGGGAGATTTATGTGTCTTCAATACAGACTGGAAATTAACAGAATGCCTCTGTTGTTTTTAATCCTCTGTATGATCTCCTTAATTCACATCATGTGAATGGAGAACAGGTCGGCTCCCTAAGCCGATTACTGCGCTGCCATTGACAATAGCGTTGTTGTGTAGCAGTGAGATATCTGAATACACTGAAAATGATTTTCCCAATTAATACCAACCAGGTGCAGACAGGACAATACAAGACTTACACTTGTGTTTTGAAAGACATTCCCCAATAGCGTCAAAGGGCGGCACTGCAGCACTGGATCAGTAGGAACTGGATTGAGTGGGAATTCAAGGTGTGTTATCAGTGTCTCTAAACCAGATTTCAGTGAGCAGGTAGAGGCCACTTTAGGTTTGATACGTTGTACGATTGACTTGAACTGCTTTGTTTCCTGAAGAATTAGCATTTAATAATGGAAAGTTCAGACTAATCTCACAGGGATGTTTTGGCTTGGAATTACAGGAATTATAGCACAATACATAATGGGTGTAATGCTAAAGTAATTAACATTATGGCAATAGGCAAGGCTGTTCTTATCCCAAAGTCGTGGTCTTAGACATAAGCTGACTACCACAAAGTCACCACCATCTCTGAATGTTTCAGGTGAGACATCTTCTGAGATAGAGAGCGTAAATCATTAGCCACAAAATCTAATGTGATGTGTAAGCTTTAATATTGAGTCCAAGCTGAAGTCAATTCCTGGTGGCCAAATAGGCAACACATCTCCAGAACTTTCCATCTTCTCTCTAGGTCTTCCCAAAAGTATGTTCATTATAACGAGGATTTAGGTCATTCAAGATCCTGGTCATTTTTACCTTCAGCTTTTCCAAAGCACTGGGTCCCTCACATGAGACGACTTCAGTCTGGATGTTTGGGCTTTATGGGAAAGTTCAGGCATGATTTCATCAAGAATCCACTTCACTGATTGGTCATTCACAGGATTGTGTTCAGTCAATTTTTCAATTGTTCTCCCTGACTATGTAAATCACATCATTTCTTGTTATTGTCCAGTTCCTAATTAATAAATCTTTTTTTCTCATGACCAAAGCGTTCCACTCCAGTCAATTTAAGCTCAGAAATACCTATGATGGAGTGGCATGGTGGTGCAGTGGTTAGCGCTGCCTCACACCTCTGGGACCTGTGGTTTGAATCTCCGCCAAGGTTCCATGTGTGTGGAGTGTGGAGTTTGCATCTTCTCTTTCTGTCATCATGGTGTTTCTTCCAGGTACTCCAGTTTGTTCCCCCAATCCAAAAACATGCTGAGGTGTACTGGAGTTATCAAACTGGCTATAGGTGTGTGAGCGTGCCCTGCAAGGGGTTGGTTCCCCATCCTGGAATGTTCCCTGCCTTGTGCCCATAGGCTCCAGACCCCCTGTGACCTGGAATAGGACAAGCAATTACAGAAAATCAATGGGTGGGTAATACCTGAGATGCCAACTTATATATAAATAATGCATTTCCATTTTTAGCATATCCAGCTTTCCTTCTTTTCAGATTTTCTTTTCTGTAATGGCAACATTAGAGACTTGTCACGTCCCAATCGTGCCGCTCCTCCTGTGTGCCACGCCCCCTCGTTAACCTCGTGTGGAATTGATTACCGGCTGTTCCTAGTCTTGTCCAATCGAGTCTGTGTATTTAAGTGCTTCCCAGTTAGCCTTTCCCCAGTCTTGTCATTAAAATCTTGTAGTTGCTGACGTTTCTCTGTGCCCCCGATTGTGTTCTCCCTCTAATAAACCCCGGGTTTACCCCTTATACTTGGACCCCCGTGCTTCCCTTCCCGTTGTACCTTCAGCGGTCCTAACAAGACTCGGACATCCAAAAGGCTTTGATCCAAGCACATAATAAATGTCAGCCTTACTCAGAGGAATCCTTAGCTTACCTTCAATAGCAGCCTGAGTCGTCCCCAACCTGAGTCCATCTTCCAACACTATCCATAACATGTTCATAGTGTGATACAGAAATGGTTTGGAATTCAGTGATTGCCAGGATCACCCCTGTGATCATCCACTACCAGCACAGTCCTATACCACTACAGACCAATATAGGTGCTAGGATTTATCTGGGATCCTCTTCTAAGACCTGTTAGTAACACTTTACTTGAGGGAATACAAATAACTTAGTTACTCAGTGACTACTCAACAACAAATCATGAATTAACATAGTTCCTGCATGAAATACGTGAACCGTCATGGTTGATTAATGACAAACACAGGATCAGTACATAACTAACACTTCTTCACTGGTTAATTGATATGTTAAGTAAGCTTGTACAACTACATTATTCATGCCCCTTCAAGTAAAGTGTTACCTGTTTGTCACAAGTGACCCTAGCAGGACCAAAATTCTCCAGGACCTTAAGGAACTTAACTTCTCCAATGCAACAACAGAGAGGTGGATGTATGTATTGATCAGTTTAATGAAACTGCTCAATCATTTGAACATACCCGATTACCTATTTCAAGGTGATGTAGAAGGTCAATGGGCAGAACTGTATCTTCATAATTCCAGGGCTGTGGATTTGATTCCTGCCCCTATGTGAGATTTCCATGTTCTCTCTTTGCCCAAATCCAAAAATGTGCAGTTGGTCAAATAGGTATTTCTAATTTAAACGGACTGGTATCTCATCCAGCATGCTCCCAGTGCACCCTGGGATAGGCTCCAAGCTCACTGTGGTCCTGTCCTGGATAAGTGGTCTGGATAGATAATTATTTACTTTACTGTTATTAAAATATGCATAGCTGAGCCATACGAGAAATAATTCTGAGCCATATGAGAAATAATTAAAAAAGTGACAAATTAGAAAATGAAAAAAGAATCAAACAACGTACCTAAAGTTGACAAAAATATGACCTATTTTAATTTGAACATAATATAACCCATTACACACACACACACACACGCACACAAACATATATATATATATATATATATATATATATATATATATANTATATATATATATATATATATATATATATATATATATATATATATATATATGTATATAGTAAAAATATATGTGGAAAGTGTTAATATGAGCTCTAAATAAAAACAGCATTCTTAATTATTCATTCATGCGAATCGAATAGTACAGCTATTTTTAAAAGTCATTAAACAAAAACCATGTACTGAAGAATAGTGGGGGGTGGGTTCATTAGTGGTACCACGATGAAGTTGCCACTTTCTTTCTGCGTAGCCTAACATTGTTGGAAACAAACGTGCATTTGTTCGGCCTGATCGTGGAGGAAGCTTGGTCGGGGGTGGGGGCGGCAGTGGACCGGACTGGAGCGGTAGATATGCAAAGACAAAGCCGTCTATTGGCTGCAGCTGTCTGGTACCCAGAGAGGAGGATGGATGGAGCGGAGACCAGGGGGATGTAACAAGGAGTGGAGGAGCTCCTAGGCTAGCGTGATACGGCACTGCGAGGATGTGATCTCATTAGTACGGGCTTTATGTAAAACCCGCCACCCCCAGCAGCTTGACATTAAAAAAAAAGTTGGCAGAGTGGAGTATGATTCACCGACAAGCGATATTATCCCAGGTAGGTTGTGTTATTGCGTTTCTTTGTGGACGGTGGACGTGGGAGGTGTTTCCGAGCGGCGGAGGGGATCTTCTTCGTTCGGTGATGGAGCGGAGCAAGGCGACGCCGTGTTGCGGCAGACGCAATGGGGTCCTGCGCATGGCTTAACGCTCCGCGATGCGGAAAACGACGCGTCCGTGGCCGCGTTTGAGGCATGCATGTGGCGCCGCCGCACCGCGCACGGCCGACGGAGGCTGGCGATGGAGGCTCTTTGTGTCAGGGGCTTCCCTCGGCTCTAGCTAATCCCGATCGGCCCTTTCTGTCTCAGCGAGAGGACCTATTACGGGCGACGCCGAAAAACCCAGATCGAAAGGGGCTGAGTGTAGCGATTATTATGAAACCGAGGTGATTTCCAGTTTGAGAGCAAATGACGAAGGAATGCGTCCGATGAGTTATCATGCTTGCATGTAGCATCGGTAGTGAATAGTAGGAATAATAATTCACATGGTGCATTGTTTTCAAAATAGAAAGCAGCATGCACTCATTATCACCATTGCGATCAGTCAGCCCGTATTTGCGTGTATATTTGCGTGTCTGTCTGTGCGTTTGTTTTCCTGTGTGTATGTCTGTTACATCTGTACTTTTTCTGATCTGCAGCACTCCTCGGAGACTATATAGGCTAGCAACAACTTTAACTAGATCGCTCAAAGTTTCCTAGCATGAAACATACTAACCGCTAGTGTTTTGTAAATAAGTTGTGCAGTTGTTCTTTTGCGAGATGCAAACATCCTTTACTTTATGCATGGCGATTTAAAAACTTTGATGTATAGGTATAGATTATATTATATGCTACTTTGAGACATTGTGTGTAGTGATTAAATCGTACATTTTTGGCACGTTTGTTAGTAATGCTATCAGTATCCCGGAAATGGTCTTCTTAAGTGTTTTATTTAACTGGCTTATTTCCTAAAGCATTTGCATAAGGTAATATCCTATTTTAGGCTTGTAAACTCATCAGTCGTTGATTTAAAAACAGTGAGTCATTGTGCTGAACATGTCGTAGTATGACGCAGAGGAAATTTTGTCAGGCGAGGCTTAAACTGTACACTAAATTATCAGATTAGACTACTCAGTCTGTAAATTGCGGACAGTCAGGACACCCAGAAGCAGGGGGTGGTATTGACCATTGGCTCTTCTGTCACCACCTGTCATTGCAACATTTAATTGCATCGATGCATAATTTAAATTACACTGGATTTAAATGACTGAAAAAAGGCACATTGAACTCCGATATGTAATGGGGATCTGTGGAAGGCAGAGACGTGAATTCTGGTTGTAATGATGAACAAGCCAGGGTGCCGACGGTATAGTAACGCTGACTACATACCTTGCGTGACACTTAAATTTTGAACAAAATTTACAAAATCCGTCCTGGGTAACAGCGTTAGTACAGCGCTGAGCAAATAAGCAGAGATAAGACATAAGAGAACTGCGAGTTGCATTTTGTATAAAGTTAAACGCGATTCCTAAATTTTCAAAGCTTATATTTTATGTTGTGACCTCATTAATGATGGGTTAATTAAAGAGGTTATTCCAGTTAAGACATGGTATGGTACAGTAATTATCCTGCAAGGATTACTTTTACGCAAGCAGTCAGTGTATGCAGCGTAACACAGACTTGTAACGTGTGAACAGAAGTAACGTTAAAATTAAATTTATACACCTGTGATGTATTATTCTACTGACCTGTTATTCAGTAAGTCCTGCTAATTATTAAGTGTTTTCAAAGCACAGAGTAATGATGTGCCCTATTTACCACTCCTCAAGCTAGACTTACAAAATGAGTCTGAATGTCATTTACTTCAGTTTACCCCAGTCAAATACTTGTATTATAAATCTGAACAGTGTCAATCCTGTAAATTTTATAGTGTAGAAAAGACATCTGAATTTGCCTGACAAGTGTATTCGTCTGTCCTGAAAGTAATTCCTGTCCAATAATACTCCTGTGTCATGGTGTTAACATTTATTTTTGACTGCTTTTCCTGTGCTTGCACAAGTCAAGCAGGTCTTTAATGTCATTTGTAACCAGACACAGTTAGTACAGTACACAGTTAAAAACAAAATAGCGTTTGTCTCTGACCAAACCGCTACATAAATTAACACAAGACTAACACACAACCTACAGTAACAACGTAAAGCGCACAGTGTGCAATCTGTGGAAACGCTGCAGGACAGTGCAAGAAAGAGCAGGACTGCTGACATCGACAAGTACAAACAGGGAAGTAAAACCCAGTGCTGTTACCTGTACATGTGTGGATTGTGTGTGTGGAGTTTGCATGGTCTTCTCGTGACACACAGTCCAAAGACACGCAGTCGGGCTAAATGGCGTCTCAGCATTGCTGCTACTGTATGATTTTGAGTTTGCATATGTTTTTTTCTATATGATGGACTGGCATCCCACTCAGGATGTACCCATGGTGTCCTGTGCTGCAAAATATAGCCTCCTCCCCCCCCCCCCCCCCAACCGTGACCAGGATAAGTGGTTGGAAGATATACAGGCCAGCATTATCATTCAATTTGTTCCAGATAGTCAGTCTGAGGCTATCATTGTGATCACCTAAAACACAGCAACATTAAGATCGCTTCTGTCAAATAGTTAAGATAATATCGGCCAGCAGCGTTTTGCCGTGGAAAATTAGTTTTTTGTTTTCCCTTTCTAATGAAAATACATTAGGCTTTAATATATTTCATAGTTCTTGCCCAAGCTCCGTGTAAAATGCCGAATGTGCTGTTTTCTTACGATATTGCAGATTGAGAATTCTCTGTAACTAATGCAGGTGTCAACTAAAATTAAATTAGGATGGTGTCTGATTCAGTTTGGCCTTATTAACCTTAGGTGATATTTATAATGAAAGCGATTTTCCCTCTATAATAGGTGTATCATTACCTGACCCAGAGTAATTAGCTGTTTGCACTGTCATATTTCTCTGCCACGCCATGACGCTTTGGAGATGATTCTTAATGGCTACATTGTCATGCATATTTAGTGCAGGAATTTCCGTCCACGTTGTTCCTATGACACTGGATTTAGCCTCGGGGACCTTGAGGATGGAAATTCTCGTACAGTGGTGGTCCAGGGCTCTGAGACGTTACCTGTGTATTACTCATAGGGCTTTGTTAATGATACATCTGACTCTGGTGCTCAGACAGTGCCGAAGGCAGCTCACACAGGTGTGACGTGTGGACATGTTCCCACATCAACACTCCAGAAAACACAGCTTCGAGACACATTTTAATGCTTGTGGTTGAAATTCATGCAAGTAGTAGATCACTGTTCCCTGAGATCTTCAAGGATTTCGGAATGAGCTGAAGTACGATTCTGTACTAGCTCGGCACTTGGGGAAATTTCAGTAAAGACCCATCCCTGTCGACCTCAGATTGGGTACCTCATTACGTACCAGAATGCTTCAATGTGTGCATATAAGGCTGGACATATATTCAGAACTTACATCAAAACATCATGAAATATTTATTGCTTTGTTTCTGGATATCTTTAACATAAAGTCCTTGAAAGGAAAAGTTTTGGTGCACAGAATCAGTATTGTCAGTAATAAATGTCTGTTGCGCTTTCATAATATTTTAACGATAATGCCTTCTGACTTGGGGGGCACAGGAAGAGGGGATATGTGCAAATTCCTCAGCTTCCAGGGTGTTACACTTACATTGTATGGGGGGGGGGCACACTGATGATTCTGGACTGAAGGACCCAGCTGACAGGCTGCTTGAACCACCAGCTTGAACAATCCCAGGAAGTCACTTTTTGCTTTGGTGCTAGGGGGCCTCTTGACAATCAGGTTTAACCTGTGAGGGGGAGTCAGGGACAGCTGGGTTCTATAATAGGAGAGCGATCTGTCACATATATAGCAGGTATGAATGGATGATTAGAGTGCAAAGTCTGATCATTCAGGTTTCTGCGTGCCTTTGAATGCTGACTATTAGTCTGGCCTTAATGGTCAAATTAACAGGTAGTAATAACACACCCTATGTAGAATTAAAAATACAGTACTATGCCCATGTTAAGCTTTGCTAATTAAACGTACTAACAATTGATGTATGATGTTAGTAATTTGTTTAAGCAGCACAGTTATGGATTTGGAATATAAATCTGTATAATGCAGCTTTCAGAAAATTAGGTTTCGAAAAAGACTAGAAATTGTAGTACCTTGAATGCATAAATTAAAAATAACCAATTATTGATGCTGTTTAACGAAAACTCTATAAGGAATAGGCCAACAAATTATACTGATTGAAGAAGTAATTTTCTTATTTTTGATTCTCTGCTTTAGGTAATTTGTTTAGACGAAGCATTTGTTACATCATTATATGGGGTTTTAGCTTGTTTGCTTTCGTTTGAACATTTTGCCCGTAACCTCACTGATATCAAAGGCAAGTTTCTGTATGTTTCTGAAAATTGCTTAAGGCTTGAGTTCTTCACACAGGGAAGAGAAAACGTTTGGGAGTTAACAGGGAGAACATCCTCTCATATACTGCAGTGACAACAGAGATAGAATAAGACAAACTTCGGAAACTTGTAGTGTACAATAAGTTTAGCTAGTAAGTGTGTTGTTGTCGCTATATTTTGATATGTATTACGTGGCAGAGAGTCCTTGCTTTGGGTGGATAGGCCCAGTACACATGATTTGCAGAACAATGGCCCTGGTTATGAGTGGGTGGCCTAATTAGTCAACAGTGGACAGTAATGGTGTTAGCAATGACAGGCTTTGGGAAATAGGTGGGACGGAGGACGAGACAAAGGAGCGTGAGCGTCGGTGGGATTATAGACGGGATGGACTAAAGGAACCATTACTGCGTCCGGCTTTACGGCTCAGAGATCATCCTGGCAGATGGACTGAGCAATGGGACGACAGAGAGGTCAGAAGTCAAAAAGTCAAACAAAGGCTGTCAAGAAGAACAGAGCCGATGTCCCACGGCGAAGTGGGTTTGTCACGCAGTGACAGAGA